ATTGTGAGACTGATGATGTGGGCTTCCACTACCAGAAGGAAAAACTGTTCGCAAGCGGTAGGATCCGATTTTATCTCCACAGTAACTGTTCGCCTTTGAATCAGATTTCTTAAGTGATACAAAGCTCCACTATTTGATCCAGAGGATGTTTTGTAGAGCAGTTTCCAAATAGCCTATGTAACCATTCATAATAGTGACATACATATTTTCATAGAACTTACCTTCAGCAAACAAACTTTGGCATGCCAATCTTCAACAACAGGTATTAGTCCTTCAAGGCGATCAATACCTCTCCATTCATTGACATTGTGATTCTTACTCCCTGTAGCCCTCTCAACCGTTAACTGATCACCGCCGAACAGAATTAAGATAGTGGAATCTATCCTCGAACAATTCCATCTCTTCATTAGAAACTGGATCTTCAATCGAGCTACTATTGCTTACAACAGGAACATACTGTTGGAGATGACTCATGATAAATTTCATATCTTCATTTTTGACCTCATTCTTTGTTAGTACACCTAGTGGAACCTAAAAGAAAGAAACCATAAAAATTAGTATATGCATTATTATAGTTAATTTTATGACAAATCAATGCCTACCACAACAGACTTCTGTGACATTTCTTTTGAGTGAGAGTGAAGAATATGACGAGAAATTGAACTAACATTGTCTTTGAAGAATGAAAAACGTTCTCTCAGTATTCGTGCTACAATGATTGTAAGATTTCGTCTCAATGTGGCATTATCGTCATCAGTGGGCAACACACAGCTAACATCTGCAATATTGGCATCAAACGATGAAGGATCATCTTCAAGAGCAGACATATCACATCTATCAAGCACAGCGTAACTATGGAAGTAGTGAAGAGACTGCAAGTGATTGTCACTGGTTTCCTCCCGTGGTCTAATAGACTTGTCTATATTGTCTCCTACAATTTTTAATGTAGGTATCTTAACAGTTAGTTTTGTTACTGTTGACTGATTTCTATCTATGTCAGCTTCAGGGGAGAAAGACATGGAACTGGAAGTTGTCATAGATGAAACTGAAGGTGGTGTTATCATACACACATCTTCATCGCCATTACTCATATCTTCATCACCACTACATGTAGCGTCTCCGTCAGACCAGTCTTCAGTATACACAACTTCATTACGGGTAATAGAATCAGAAGCAGATACAGCCGGAATAAGTGGCGAACGATTATCCGATGACATCCTTCCATCTACTGCAATACGGTACTTCTAAATTTTAATGATATTGAAATTACCGGCTATAATAGAGACAGATTACTTACCTTTGAAAGCTGGACTTTTAAAAAATTGGACCACTCCTTCACATCTTGATCAAAGTTTTCACCCATTTTATCAACCAATCTAATGGTACTTCTGTGCGACACACATAAACCAGCTTTTTGTAGTCTTGTATACAACTAGAAGCAAATCTAAACATAATTTACTCACACACAAATTGCAAAATACCTGTTTTGGAGCATGACATCCATACAATAGAAGAGAAACAGCACGTTGTAAAAGGCATGCTCTTTCACTATGTCCATGAAGCAATACCGAAGCAGCTACAGCCATTGCTATCTCTACCTTTTTTCTTTTCTGACCCCGGTCAATGGAATTTTCCAATACTGATGACATAACTGGAGCAGTTCTCTTCAAGTCAAGTACCATACTGTTCCAGCTGAAATTGTTGATAGCAGAGAGACTTTTGTCTTTGAAAATCGATTGCTCCTTCACAGAACATGTAACTTTCATTTCCTTTCGAATGAGTTTCCCTATCTGAATAGCCACCTTTCTACGCATGATCTTGTCCTTTAATACAAAATTGACAATTGACATCCTACTGCGTCTTCCAACAGATCGCCCTAAACTTCTTAATGATTTAGAAACAACGTTGACACGACAAGGACCACTCGGTTTCTTATTAACAAACTACAAAATTGTAATAAACATCAAATGAATTATAACTAATGACTTACATAAACCACAGGACTGCCAGTTGAATCGATTGGCTGGGATAATGCATTTCTGGTTGGTGTATCATAAGTTAGCCTCGTACGACGTGGAGAGTATAATGATTTTGATGGTGTAGCAGGGCCACTTAGATCAATAGATAGATCAACTGAGGTTATACATGCCTGAGCAGCATTTTGACTATCAAAAAATGAACCAATCCTTCTTTCAATCTCTAATTTCATATCTTCCATTTCTTTTCTCGTTTTAGCTAACTTCTTCAAAGTAAAGCACACAGCTTTACAACATACTGTGTTAGTGGCAAGAAACTGGTCTACTTCCTCTTGAGATCGAGAGGAAACTGCAAGTAAAACTAGCCTAATGGAAACTGATGGATCCTCTTCGGACTTGAGATAAACTCTGTTTCCAGATACTGTTTCTTTCCTACAAAGAACACACTTTGGAGAGGGATTTGGAGCCATTTTGATTCTTTGACAGGTTGGGAAGAGGCGGAGCACCATGTGACTGTCACATGTCACAAACTTAATAACTACTAATTATTGCATTCCTTTCTGCAAGAGTTT